TATTGTAGAGACAAGGTCTCACCAAGTTGCCCAGGCTGGTCTTGAACCCGTGGACTCAGGCAATCTACTCACTTCGGCTTCCCAAAGTGCTGGGATTACAGGCTTGGCCACCAAGCCTGGCCCCCATTGCATTTTTTAAAAACTTTTCATTTTGAAATAATTGTTGACTTTCAGGAAAGTTACAAAAATAGTCCACAGAGTTCCTCCTATAAATCCTTCACCCAGTTTCCACCAATGTTAAAACATTAACACCGTATGTAGCCAGAGTACAGCAACCAAAACTGAGACATTAACCTTGGTGTGGCACAGTGAGCTGGACCAGAGGTGTGCTCGGCCTTCCCAGGCTTCCCACTAAAAACTCTACTGTCTGGGATCCAGTCAGGGTCCCAGCCTTCACTTGTTGTCACATGACCTTCATCTCCTCCGATCTGAAACAGCTCCTCAGCCTTCCCCATCTTTCCTGACCCTGACTCTTTTGAAGAGTACTGGTCCGTTGCTTTGCATGTCCCTCGATTTGGATGGGATTGAGGTTTTCTCACAGTTGGATTGCGGTTTGGTGTTTCTGGCAAGAACACCACAGAAATGACAGGAGATGCGTGAGTTGATGTGTCGTTACTATGATGTTAACCTTAACCACGTGGTTAAGGTAGTGTCTGACAAGTTTCTCCACTGAACAGTTCCTAATGAACACTTTGTAATTATCAACATACCTGGGGCCAGCCAGGCATGGTGGCTCATACCTGTAATTCCGCACTTTGGGAGGCCTAGGCAGAAGTATTGCTTGAGCCCAGAAGTTCAAGACCAGCCTAGGCAACATAATGAGACCTCGTCTCTACAAAATAAAACTAAAAATTAGCTGGGCTCGGTGGCTCAGCCTGTAATTCCGCGCCTTTGGGAGGCTGAGGTGAGTGGATTGCCTGAGCCCGCGGTTCGAGACCCGCCTGGGCAGCGAGACCTCATCTCTACAATAAATTAAAAAAATCAGCCGGGCGTGGTAGCGCATGCCTGTAATTCAGGCTACTTGGAAGGCTGGCGGAAGGATCACCAGAGTCCAGCAGGTCGAGGCTGTGGTGGCTTGGAGCAGCCACTGCACTACAGTCTGGGCAACAGAGTGAGACTCCAACTCAAAAAAAAAAATTAGCCGGGCATGGTAGCACATGCCTATAGTTCCAGCTACTTGGAAGGCTGAGGTGGAAGGATCGCCGGAGCCCAGCAGGTCAAGGCTGCGGTAGCTGGGAGTGGCCACTGCACTCCAGTCTGGGTGACAAAGTGAGAGTCCAACTCAAAAAAATAAAATAAAATAAAATAAAAATTAGTCGAGTGTGATGGTGCATGCCTGTAGTTCTAGCTTCTCAGGAGGCTGAGGCAGAAGGATTGCCTGAGCCCAGGAGGTCAAGGCTATGGTGAGCCATGTTGGTGCCACTACACTCCAGCCTGGGCAACATAGTGAGACCCTGTCTCTACAAAAATAAAAATAAAATTAGCTTGATATGGTGACACACACCTGTTGTCCAGCTATTCAGGAGGCTGAGGTAGGAGGATCACTTGAGCCCAGGTGTTCAAGGCTACAGAGAGCTACGATTGTGCCACTGAGCTCCAGCCTGGGCAACAGAGTGAGACCCTATCTCTTAAAAAAAAAAAGACCGTGCTCGGTGGCTCAGCACTTTGGGAGCCAAAGTGCTGTAATCCCAGCACTTTGGGAGGCCGAGGCGAGTGAATTGCCTGAGCCCTGGCAACTTGGCAAGACCTTGTCTCTAGAGTAAATAAAAAATTAGCCAGGCATGGTAGTGCGTGCCTATAGTTCGGGCTACTTGGAATGCTGAGGTGGAAGGGTCGCCAGAGCCTAGCAGATTGACACTGGGGTGACCATGAGTGTGCCACTGTACTCCAGCCTGGGTGACAGGTGAGACTCCAATTCAAAAAAAGAAAAAAAACAGAGTGAGAGAGGCTTAAGCCTCTTACCCCCCTCAGTCCCCTCCTTGAAGTACTCATGGGAAATGTGTATCTTCAGGAGTCTTAGTTGAAATTTAACTGCTCTGTGACCTTGGGAAACAGCTTAACTTCTCTGGAGTCTGGGTTTCCTCATCTATAAACCAGGATCAGTCAGTCATCCAGCCTCACAGGATTGGCTCATGTCTGTCAAATGCCAGCAGGCACTTGGGAAGTGGGTGCCCTTCAGGTGAGTAGAGGGTGGTAGCATGGGGGTTCCAGATGGGTCCTGACCTCTCTCTTCCTCCCTGGCCCTAGGACAAAGCTGGTGCTGGAGAACCTGGAGGATGCCTGTGTGCTGACCGGGCCAGATGACTCCCTGTGGGACAAGCACGCGTGTCCAGCCTACGTGGGACCCGAGATCCTCAGCTCCCGGGCCTCATACTCCGGCAAGGCGGCGGATGTCTGGAGCTTGGGCGTGGCACTTTTCACCATGCTGGCTGGCCACTACCCCTTCCAGGACTCAGAGCCTGCCCTGCTCTTTGGCAAGATCCGCCGCGGGGCCTACGCCCTGCCGGACAGCCTCTCGGCCCCGGCCCGCTGCCTGGTCCGCTGCCTCCTCCGACGGGAGCCGGCTGAGCGGCTCACGGCCATGGGCATCCTGCTGCACCCCTGGCTGCGGGAGGACCCAATCCCCTCCACCCTTTGCCGATCCCACCCCTGGGAAGCTGACCAGGTGGTTCCTGATGGGCCAGGGCTCGAGCAGACCGAGGACGAGGAGGTGGAAAGAGAGGTGGGTCTGTACAGCTAGGGCCGCCCTTCTGGATTCTCAGCTGCAAATGGGGTTGGAGCTTGGAGTGTTCCCAAGCTTCCTGCTGCCTCTTGGAATCAAGTCAAACCTGAAGTGCCTTCTAGGAGGGAGAGAGGCCGAAGCCTGGGTGGAGCGTGCCATGTGCACCCCTGTGTTGCTCCACACATGCAAGTCCTGCTTGGGCACCTCCCCGTGTGCCAGGCCCTGTCCTAGGTGCTGGGAACACAGCCATGAGCAGGAGAGACAAAACTGCCCACTCACGGAGCTGGTGAGCCAGCGTTCCCTGGCTGACAACCCTCTTCCATGCCCATAGGTCGACACAGGGCGCACTCCAGGCTGGCCTCCACTCACGCTGGTGCTCAGGCACCTCGTCCGCAGGACAGTCCCTTTCACAAACAACCCAGCTGCCTTATGTCTTACACCTCTTCAGAGAAAAGGAAGCATCCCTGTGCCAAAGGGCCAGACCTCTCCCTTGCAACTCAGAACCCCAACCCCGGGCCATGCTGGGAACTGTGCTCCCAGCTGCTCTGACCACCTGAGCAAGAGATTCTCCTTCCAGGCCCGAGCCGAGGATGGGGCCAGAAGAATGAGAATCCAAACCATGAGGCGGGTTCTCCACTACCTCAAGGGATGGCCTGGCGTGAGGGTCCAGGCCTGTCAGCCTCAGTGGCCCGTGACCGGAGCACCAAGGTTGGGGGACAGAATGAAGCAGAGCCCATTCTGTGGCCACCTGGAACGTCCTAGGCCCTCTTCTGGGGATGCTTGGGGTGCAGGACCCCTGACCAATACTCTAGGTTTTGGATATCATGAGTATCCATTTTCACTTGTGCCTAATAAAAGGGAGTGATGAAAGATTCTCACTTCCCTGGGAGATTTCTTCTCTCCTTTCCCACCATCCCTTGCCAGCTTTCCCTACCTTCAAAACTGGTGCCCTGGTGAAAAACCAGAGGTGGCGTGTCTCGGCCTTGGCTGAGTGGTTTGTGAGAGCAGATTTCCTGCAGCCCAGCAGCTCTTTCTGCTCTCTCTGTTTCTTCTGGAGGCAGTCGTGTCTCTGTGGGGTACTTTGCTGAGTCAAAGTGGCTTAAACAAGAAGGAGATATGTTTCACATCAGGCAAGAAGTCAGTGGATGGGCTGGGCTTCAGTGCCGGTTCATTTGGCTCTGTCCATTAGAACCTGGCTTTCCAGGCGCGCGCTCTCTCTCTCTCTCTCTCTCTCTCTCTCTCTCTCTCTCTCTCTCTCTCTCTCTCTCCCTTGTTGTCCCTGGGGACTCCTGGCCCAATGGCTACAAATGTCATATTAGGGAAGTCCTTGACTGGAGGAAGAAGAAGCAGAGACATCGTATCGTAGTCCTTGAGAACTCAGGAGTCTGGAGTCAGGCTGCCCGGAAGGAAACCCTGGCTCCCGCACTCACTGGCTGTTTGACCCTCGGCAAGTTTCTTCTTCTTTTTTAAAAATTATTTTAATAGAGACAGGGTCTCACTATATTGACCAGGCTGGTTTCAAATTCCTGGCCTCAGCCTCTTAGATAGCTGGGATGACAGTTGTGAGCCACCATGCCCAGCAAGTTTCTTAACTACGCCTCAGGTTCTCTGTCTGTCAAGCGGAGGGTGATAATAGTGCCTAACTCACGAAAGCTGAGTTGAGTTATTTCATGTAAATCATTTCGAACATAGCAGGCTTCAGTAAGAGTTGCTACTGTTCCCTCAGCTCTTCTTTGAGGTGGGGAAAGCTTTCCCAGAAGCATGCCTACCAGACTTTCCCTCACATCTCAGTGGCCAGGCGGGGTCACGTGCCCCTTTCTGGCCAATCACCAGCTTACACTGGTGGGGCCTGTGCTGAGGCTCATCCTGCCCTTGAGCTGTGAGGGGGCACCTCTTGGAAGCTCATGCTTTATGTGGGAGGCGGAGTGATACCTGAACAAAACCAAGTTCTGAGAGGGAGGGGATGGTGGGAAAAGGAAGGTGGAGAAGTGAGGTGGCCTGGCCAACAGCCTGCCAACTGCAGATATGCCGCAGAGGCCATCCTGGTGGATCATCTGATGCCAGGCAGCCTCCAGTTGACTGCAGGTGCAGACACCAGTCCAGCTGGCCACAAAGTCATGAGCTCAATAAAATGATTGCTGTTTGAAGCCACTGAGTTTTGGGCTGTTTTGTTATACAGCAAAAGCTAACTGATGCAGACAAGGACAAGTCAGTCTCATCTCTACGTACCCAGCATTGCCCAGAACAGCAGCCCTGATCACTGCCCATCCAGCAGATTCTGTCCAAGCACTCTGGCACGCTGAGTGCCATCTCTGGGACCAGTGGAGCAAGGAGAAGCGGGGTAAGCTCACAGAAGGTGAGGGCTACCCAGGGTAGGTCCCACGTCAGCGCTTCACTCCATGACACAGAGACTCATCTACTCTTGACAGTCAGACGAGGCAGATGCTCTCATCATTTTACAGTAAGAAAAAAGAAATGAGGTTTGGGAGAGCAGAAGACTCTGGCCAGGCACAGTGGCTCACGCCTGTAATCTCAGCACTCTGGGAGGCTGAGGCGGGAGGATTGCTTGAGCCCAGGAGTTCGAGATCAGCCTAGGTAATATGGCATGACCTTGTCTCTACAGAAAATGAAAAAATTAGCTGGGCGTGGTGGTGCATGCCTGTAGTCCAAGCTGCTTGGGAGGCTGAGGTGGAAGGATCACCTGAGCCCAGCAGGTCGAGGCAGTGGTGGTTGTGACAAAAGCCTCATCCAAGGACTCACAACAGAGAAAAAGAAAAAAGATTCACTTGGTTTTCCCCTGAAGAAGCAGCTTGTTAAAAAAAAAAATTTTTTGAAAGCAGTATTTATTGAGAGGACAGACAAGCTCCCACAGTAGGAGGAGAACTGAGGAAGTTGCCCTGAAGAAGGAACTTTGACAAGGCTGCTCAGGTGCAGCCACATGAAAACTACCCCATTGAAAAATGTAAAATTCACTCTCTTCTTAGCAAGTAATGGATGTAGCCACTTCTCTCACCCTAATTAAGGGGGGCTTTCATGTTCTTCTCTCTGTATTATCTTGATCATCATGGCACAATAGTTTTGCAATATCAAATGTAACACATGAATATTCCTGAAAAAGAAGGACTGCTAGAAATGTAATTGCGGGTTTTCTCTGCCACTGGGGGCTAACACAGGACCCTTTTGTGACCTGCCTGGCTATTCTCTCACTTGGCAGTTCAGCAGCCATTACTGAATGCCTCCTGCAAGGCCAGGCACCATGTGAGACAGAGGTGGTCTTGCCCTCAAGGATTCACGGTCTAAGGAGTAGACAGATGTTTAGCAGATAACCATACAAACAACATAATTAATTATATTTGTGAGCTGGGCTCGGCGGCTCAGCCTGTAATCCCACGCCTTGGGAGGTTGAAGTGAGTGGATTGCCTGAAACTGCGAGTTCGAGACCCGCCTGGGCAGCTTAGCGAGACCTCATCTCTACAATAAATCGAAAATTAGCCGGGCGTGGTAGCACGCGCCTGTTGTTCCAGCTACCTGGAAGGCTGAGGCGGAAGGATCGCCAGAGCCCAGCAGGTCGAGGCTGTGGTGGCTGAGAGCGGCCACTGCACTCCAGTCTGGGCAAGAGTGAGACTCCAACTCAAAAAAAAAAAAAAATTGTGGCAGAAACACCCCGGGATCTCAAGTGCTCTCCGATGGCTTCTAGCCTCCCTCACGGTCACACGGCGAGTTCTGACCAACGGTGTGTGTGGGAGACGGGAGTGGGGTCATTTCTGGGCTGAGGCAATTAAGAGTGGGGGGCCTCCCCGCCTTCCCCCGCCACAGCCACCAAGTAGCAAGTTCCCTTAGCTACAAGATGGAGGACAACATCAGACCCTCAAGGGATCTCACTGGGCGAGAAATAAAGCTTGTTGTGTTAAGTCTTTGCGATCTGAAGTCGGTCTGGTGTGCAGTGCGTGTTCATTACCATGGCGAGGGAAAAACCTGCCACAGGCAAAGGGAGGAAAAATACTTCCCACCAGGTACCAGGCCGCATCAGCCTGCTGCATTACAAATCCCAGTGTGGCTGGCCTCAGCAGTGTTACTCTGCAAGTGCGGGTGCGGGCAGCTTGGCGTTGGCCTTGGCTGGAGGTGCCTCTTGGCCCTCTCTGCTCCTGTGGCTTCACCATCCGGTAGGCATAATCTGCTCCTTCCTGTGCTGATCTCGGGGTTTCAAAGAGCAGCAAGAGCAGACAGGTCCCAGTACACAAGATGTGAGTGTGTCACATTAGCAAACGTCCCATGAGCCCCCAGCCCAATTCAGGAAGCAGGAAAACAGCTTTTCTCTTTTGATGAGAGGAGCTCAAACTCATCTGTGGCCTTTCTTCTTTCAGTATACGATAATCCCCAGTTATCTGTGAGGGGTACATTCTAAGCCCCTGCCAGAGACCTGCAACCACGGTTAGTACCGAATCCTATACACCCCATGTTTCCTACACATACATACCTACCATCAAGATCAATTTATAATCAGCCAGGTGTGGTGGCGCACGCCTATGGCTCCAGCTACGTGGAAGTCTGAGGTGGGAAGATCACCCGAGCCCAGCAGGTAAAGTTATATGATTGTGATCTCTCAAAATACCTGATTGTGGCTAAGCATGATGGTTCGCTCCAGTAATCCCAGCACATTGGGAGGCCGAGGTGGGAGGATTACCTGAGCCCAGCAGTTCAATATCACCCTGGGCAACATAGCGAGACCTTATCTCTACAAAAATTCAAAAAATTAGTTGGGCACACACCTGTACTCCCAACTACTCAGGAGTCTACTGCAGAAGGATTGCCCAAGCCTAGGAGGTCGAGGCTGTGATATGCTGTGATCTGATCATGCCACTGCACTCCAGTTTGGGCAACAGAATGCAACACCAACGCAAAAGAAAAAAAAACTTGATTGTACTCCCCTTCTTGTGACGGTGTGAGATGATAAGATGTCTCCGTGATGGGATGAGGGAGGTGAGTGACATGGGCACCGTGACCTCGCATTAGACTAC